CTTCAAACATAAAGCTTTAACAATTACATGGCTCTAGGTTTCATAAAGCTCTAGAAATAAAGCTCTAACAACGATAGAGCTCTAAAATTAAAGCTCTAGAAATAGAGCTCTAAGATTGATAGATCTTCAAACATAGAGCTTTAGCAATTATATGGCTCCTAGTTTCATAAAGCTCTAGAAATAAAGCTCTAACAACGATAGAGCTCTAAAATTAAAGCTCTAGAAATAGAGCTCTAAGACTGATAGAGCTTCAAACATAGAGCTTTAGCAATTATATGGCTCCTAGTTTCATAAAGCTCTAGAAATAAAGCTCTAACAACGATAGAGCTCTAAAATTAAAGCTCTAGAAATAGAGCTCTAAGATTGATAGATCTTCAAACATAGAGCTTTAACAATTACATGGCTCTAAGTTTCATAGAGCTCTAAAAATATAGCTTCAACAGTGATAGAGCTTTAAGTACGATATAGTTCTAAAAATAAAGCTCTGAAAATAGACCTCTAAGATTGATAAAGCCCTAAAATAGAGCTCAAAAAACTATATCGCTCGCGTCAATTTCTTTCCACCATCTGACAAAATTCACCACAAAATTTTCTTGAATTCTTCAAACATACCCAACAGCATTCTTTCGTTTCCACTATGATTCCTCTCTCAAAAAACAAAAAAAAATAAAAGCATTTATAAAACGAACGTTTTCCCACTTAAAAGCCGTGTCGAACTCGGACGAGTCAAGAAATTCAGAAGAAATCAAATAAAATATCCTCGCGTAATATGTCTCCTTCGACAACAATTTTCGAAGAGCCAATGTGCACGTGCTTCCCCACGTGTGCACGTCAGACCTCCCACCGAATTCTCTCGAATAAAAAATCAGAATGAAAAGAAATGAAATATTTTAAGAAAGACAAAATATCGACAAAAAACCGAAACGAAGAATTCGTTGGGAGGGTCTCGCTGACGCTACCATTTTTCGCTTCTCCTCCACGAACCGACGAGGATCTCTGAATTAATACAATTGTTGTTCCCTCGGTGCGACACCGATAGAGGGTCGCGAGTGCGTGAATTGCGGCGCGACGTCGACGCCACTCTGGAGACGGGACGGGACCGGCCACTACCTCTGCAACGCCTGCGGACTTTATTACAAGATGAACGGCCAGAATCGACCCCTCATCAAGCCGAAACGACGCCTGGTAAGTACCTAAGCCGAATCATTTCGTTGAATTTACAACAGTCGACGGATTTGCTCGTTTCAAAGAGAAGGATCGAAGACAGCCATTAGGGTGGCTCTTCCGAGGGATAGAAACAGGTCTTGAGGGCGCGAAAATATAGTAAACACATCCAAGGGGGGACTTGTCAGCTGGTATAACGTGACATGGTACGGGAGAACTGTATTACGCTGATCAGTTGAATGTTCGACACTGATATAGAGCGTAGCCTCGAGTTAGGATGGCGTATAGTAGGTATAGTTTTATAAGGCTGGATGTCAGTGAGGAGATAAGGTGGGAACACTTGGTGGGACTTTTAATTCAGCTGATAGAGATATTACCGCTGGACAATGTTTACTGCTTTTGAAAATAGAGCAGTGACGATGATAGAGCTCTAAGATTGATAGGGCTCTAAGAATGAAGCTTTAAAAATGGAACTCTAAGAATGAAGCTCTGAAAATAGAACTCTAACTATAATGGAGCTCTGAAAATAGAACTCTAACAATAACAGAACTCTAAGATTCATGGACCTCTGAAAATAGAACTCTAGCAATGATAGAGCTCTAAAAATAAAGCTCTAAAAATAGAACT